ACCCGGAAGTTGTTATTCCACAGTTTGACCACTCTTGCTTCAAACCCCAGGAAGAGCGCCGGGCTTTGAAGCAATAGTGGTCAAACTGTGGAATAACAACTTCCGGGTCTGTGACATGATGCAATGGGGCTCAGCTTTATGGTCATTTGTGAAGTGTTGTACTGAATTGCATCGTCTGGTATAAAATATTAGGAACAACCACATTGTACAGAGCTTGCTATTTCCTTCCTCAAAATTCTCACTTCCTTCTTTTCTGTGTACAGAAATGAGTTTGTTTGTTTTTATTTTATTTCCGTATATAAAATGTTCCTAATAGCTAACTTTTTTTGTTTGTTTGTTGGAAGATCACATTAAAGATGCATCAACTCTGACAGTTACTTTGTTGTTATTTGGGCATTGACAAATAACCTTAATGAACAAGAGATTACTGTTCACACTGTTGTACACACTGTACACACACACACACACACACACACACACACACACACACACACACACACTTACCTCTGCTTCAAATAATTTGGCACCAAAGAAAGGCCACTTCCTGGCAACGGTCAGGTAGATCCTCACACACTCAGAGGAACTTCGACCCCTGAGGGAGGCCCAGCGGGCGGAGAGACGCTGCAGCAGTTGCCTGAGTGGCGGGGGGGGGGGGAACTTCAGAGTAGAATCAAACTATTTTCCACTGAGGTCTGATCGGATTGGATTTGTTTGAATGATGCAAAAACCAATTAGAGTTGCTGTGTGTTTAGGAGTGTGACAGGAAATACAAATTAAAACTGCCAGGAAACAACTTCCTGTGATTGAAACCTACACTTTATGACGGTGACAACAGATTGTGACATTATAACTGAGCTCACAGACAACATCACATTAAATCGCCATATAACAGAATAGATACACACACGTGTGTGGACTGAGCCAGCCTTCAGTGTGTTCTGGTACCTGAGCTGCTCCTCAGACGTGGTCCTGCGGTAATGTTTCGGGTAGAATCTGTCCAGGACCTGCTTCAGGGTTTGGGTAGACTTGGTCTGGGCTGGTCCAGGAGCAGAGAAGGGACGCTCAAAGTCCCCAAACTCCACCTGAACACAGACACAGTGAGTGTTACACTGTATTCTTTTGTTTTTAAGGTGGGGTCTGGTCTAACAAACAATAATATGTGAAATATGTGTCACTGTTTAAGTGATGTATCCCATTAAAGGACGTATTGTAAACATTTAAAAGAAAAAAAAAAGAAGTAGCTTTCAGACCTGGGCCAGCAGGGCAGCCATCTCCAGAGCCAGCTCCTTGTTGACAGGGAAGTGTCCCGCGACGATGGCCTCATTCGTCTGATAAGCCAGCAGCAGCCTCTCCCTCTCTGACTCCCCCCTGACCTGGAGAGAGAAGTACAGCCTGCGGATGGACAGAGGTGGTAAAACATTGTGAAAAAGAAGCAAAGAGAAGGAGGATGAGGGAGGGAAGCGGCTGGGTCCTTCTCTACCTGCTCTTGTAGGTGAGGCGGACCGTCCTGGTGTTTTCAGACTTGCCAGTGTGCTGCTCCTTAGAAGCCTGCTCCCATTTGGAGATGATGTCACAAATCTGCGGGCGGCATGAAGGCGACAGATTATCGCTAACTCGAGGAAACCAAGGCTGCCTATATCTTAAAAAAAACAACCATCGCATGAATAGAAGGTGCACCTTGATGCCTCCTTGGAGGCAGTGCTCCAGCTCTCGTCCGGTGGGGTCGTCGGTGTACAAGCTGAAACCAGATAACCCCGTTTTCCTAATGCCGGTGTCCTGGTTGAGGCGACACTGGAACTCGTCCACTGTGGTCGAAGCATCGAAGCTCACCACCTATGGGAATGCAATTTAGTCAGTTAAGCTCCTTTTTTTAAAACTTAGACACGGTGGTGCTTTAAGCTAAATGCTAACGTCAGCACACTCAAATGCTCACCGTGACAATGCTAACGTGTTAAAGTTTAGCAGGAAAAAGGAAGCATTGTTACTGTCATCTCAACATGTACAAGAAGCAGCTCTGCATGGCTGTACTTAGCCATAATTGTACTTTGAGCTAAACTCTAACAACAGCAAGCTAACATGCTCAATGCTAACATGCTAAAGTTTAGCAGATAAAAGGAAGCATTCTTCCTGTCATCTCTTCATCCCAGAAGAAGTAGCTGTGTGGCTTTCCTTACTTGATTTTGAATTCATCGTTTAGTTCATTTAATCGACCGATCTGTAAAACTGAGTTTATACATTACGAATCACACAAAAACATCACTTTGATTTGTGTGTTTACCAGATATGTGCTTGTAAGTTTATTTTAAATAAGTCATTCAGGATGAAAAACCCTAAAAACGACGAATCGAACTCAATAAATCCCAGTCGATCGACACCAAAACGACCGATTAGTCGACTAATCGACTTAGAGGGGCACAGGCCTAATGCAAGGGATACTACAACATTTAATGGAAATCATGTCGCAATATTTCTTTTGTTATTGTATTTCAGTCAGTCCTGAAGCAGATTTACATAAGCCCAGAGCTGATACTAGGCTGTGGTGTCATCACTTCCAGCAAGTACACACAGAGAGAGACAGGGAGTGACAAAAACGAACACTCCCTCCAGAGAAACCTTGACTCAGAGCGTAGGGAGCAAAGGGAATTTGAAGTATGGGCGCACGAGTATGACATGAACATTAAACACACAGCGACTCTTTACAGTGGACCGGTTTATGTGTAAACTGTGCCTGACTTGAGGCTTATGTGATAAATGAAGCAGCGAGAGGCAAACTGAACTAGCTTTGAAAGAGCCACTGCTGTTATTATTATTAAAACTATTATCTAGCTTTCTGTGTTGGTGTATTACTACCTGGTAGGTGTTATTGAGGAAGTGGACAGGGACGCTGAATGGCAGGGAGTGATGATAGGGATTCCTCAGTAGGATGGACAGGATCTCCATACGGGACGGCCTGACCTGCCTCTCGCCCTTCTGCTGGGTCCGCTCCATGGAGCGCTGGCAGTAGATGGCATACTTACCCACCTCCGTCCTGAGGATGCAGTGGTACAGAAGTGGTGCGCACATCAAGGACAATCACATACCGTCAATCTGAACAATGTCGCTGTGTTTGCTCAATGATAATGATCAATCCAGTTATTGATCCCCACATGTTTATGCTGATAAATGTTTGGAGATTAGTGCTAATTAATCTTGGTACTTGTGATGAGTCAACTGAATGTGTTTATATGTCTATAATTGGTGGAGTTCCCCTTTATTTGAGTGTAATTTAAGTTCTAATACTGGTGATTGTACACAAAGAACTATATTGCACTTAACTGAGGTATATAAACTGAGTTCAAGTTCATTTACCCGTCACTACATCCCTGGAGGGAAGTACAGCATGATTTACTAACTGACTGTAAAAGGCTGGCTCCATGATAATGCCATGTCAGCATTATCTCATTATTGTATGTAAGACAACTCGGGCCAAGCACAGAATTCATTTTAGTCAACCGACAGAATATGAACTGATAATTGTTCGATAATTGATTTATTTGGTTTTTGGTCATTTTTCAGGTAAAAAACTGGAAACATTCTCTGGTTCCAGGCTCTCACATGTGAGGGTTTGTCTGCTCGGTGCAAATTACATCTTGAACAAAACAAGACATTGGTTCTGGGAAACTACCGAACATTTTATAAACATAATTGATTAATGAGAAAATGACGGCCACATTAATTATGACTGAAAATAATCAGCGTAGTTAATAGAAGTACAAACAAGATTTCCAGACTTGATCATGTTTTTTTTGCAGTGCTACTTCTATTTGGTGTTTGCAAAGGTTATGTTGCATGCTAACGTTGGGGGGGGGCCCTGGTGTTTTCTCACCTGGAGTCTCCGTGTCTTTTGAGGTGAACCTGGAGCAGCCAGAGGAACGGATGCTGAGGCAGAAACAGTCCGACACACAGGGCTAGAAACTGCCAACCCTAAAGAATGACGCACGAGGTCAGAACAAGCTGAATATGAGACAGAGAATCTGCAAAGAAAGAACCTGGAGCATCAGGGCAACGTGTGAGAGACGGACTGGAAAGCTGCAGCTTCTCCTTGTTGCATCTTTGTATATCTGGTATATCTGGTTATAGGCTATGGGAGATCACACAACTTTTAGTTTTGAACTATATATAGCCTGAAATGATTTTTAACTGTTTGGAGTTGTGAAACCATGTTTTTTCTAAGCACCTAAAACAAAAATGTTCTCAGTTAAACCCTGATGATTACACACATTTTCAGACACCCTGCCCTTTCAAACGTCAGCGTTTTCCAGTAAGTAACACGAGCCACTGCTGCCACCGTGTGGCGAGAATGCAAACCTGCAGGGGACCCGGATGGCCCTGCAGGTGCCTCCTCCGGGTCTGCTTGATCAGCTGGCAGAAGAACTCGTTCTGAAGCTCGGGGTGGGCCAGGCACACCTGCAAAGCACTCTGGGCCAGCGAGACGTGGTAGTCGATGGCCGGAGCGTCGATGGCCACGTTGATGAAAAGCTGACAAGTCTGAGGAGAGACGAGGGTCGGGGTTTTAAAAGACAGACGAGATATCGCTCTTTGATTGTGGACAAAAGAAGGCACATCAATGCGGTGTGTGGGTGTGTGCGTGTGTGCGTGTGTGGGTGTGTGCGTGTGTACCTTAAAGAGTTTAACGGCCTCGGTCTGCAGAGCTTGTGAGGGCAGGGTGGTGAGAGGAGACAACAGGGCTTCCTTACTGAAACACAACATGGGATGTCTCCAGATCTGGGAGTCTGAGAGACAGAGAGAGAGACTGCTAGCTGAAGGTAATAATGAGAACATGTCAAACAAGTTAATAAAATATATATACGTATATGTCGTATGAAATATTTAGAATAACTATGAACGAACCAAAGTTAAGTGACAAACAGAGTGGAAGACATACTGCACGTACACCCTAAACTCAGTCTGGAGTATTTTTTCACCAGTACGTTTTCGCCACATCTTGTTTTGCACGTTATATTAGAAAGACAAAGAAGAAATGAATTCACTGATTTGTATCATAAAACTTTGGTTGATGATGATGTAGAAACCACTCTCACCTCATCTAGTTTAGGGTTGTATTTAACACGGACACACATTCCGTATATCAGGAAAACAAGCAAGAAGAAAAATGCTTTAATTGTTTACACAGTGAGTATTAACGCCCTCCCTTTTGTGTTGGTTACTATTGCGGATCAATGTTGTGACGTAATATGATGTATGAAAAATATTTATTTTGAAAGTAAGAAAAATATGCAATCAGCTATTTATGGAAGGCCATTTTCGCCATGTGATTAAAAAAAGGATCCTGTAAGTCATTATAACGAGGAACCGAAATAACGACTTAGTATCTAAAAACAAGTTTCTTGTGTTTTGGGATACTAAATCATAATTTCGAGATAAATCATAATTTGATTCTAAGTCATTATCTTGCGATACTGAGCTGTCATCACTTCAAGATACTGCGTCATTCATTTGCAATATTAAGTCATTATTTTGAGAAAGTTTACTAAGTTATTATTTTATAATGTCATTAATATACTACTCATTACAATAATTTATAGGATCTCTTTTTTTCCATCACAGGACCAAGTCTTATTTTTTTACTGACGCACATGGGCTTCCACAGGCAACCCAATGAAAGACACAACAAACAATAAATACATTTGTAAGAAATGTTTACTTGGATCTCCATCCAGTTGGAAGAGTTTTCCCACCAGTTGTTCGAACTCAGTGCCGACTTTCCCCACTGTGGTGCCCGCTGCCACCGACAGATGGTAGAGCCACGAATCCTACAGAGCGACACACAATAACATCAGTGACACTAGAGGCACAGGAAATAGACATTATGAGCACAGAATCAGGTCCGGTTCGATCAGCTGTTTGAACCTATAAATAGTCACATTCTTGCATTAGATTTAGAAATAAAATTGTAGAGCAGAAAAATTGCAACAATGACAAAAAGAGAAGAAGAAAAAAAATGATGAACTTCCGGAGCGACACCGACCTTTTCGTGGCGGGACTCGATGAGCAGGTAGGTGGGCCCTTGCTCTTGTGGATGGACGGCGAGGGTGAAAGGGGCCGTCTGTAAGCCCCGCTCACACGCCTTTAGGTCGTCACCGCAGTCCCTCGACCTGTCCACCTCCTCAACCCGGGCCTCCCACAGCTTAATCTGACCCAGGGGGAACTGAGAGCACACACATGAACACGCTGAAATAAAGGGGAACAGCTTTTTGCACCTCTGAACTAAAGATCCTTCCTGATACTGTACATTTTTTACAAATTAACGCTCTGAACCACAAAACCCGCTAGTGGGATTAAAAAGCAGGTTTTCTTTTTATGTACATCGAGAGCGAAGTGGAAACCGGAGTCAAATTCCATGTATGTGTACACATACATGGCCAATAAAGCTGATTGTGATTCTGATTCTGACAATAAAGTGTGACAAAAAAAAGAAGAAAAAAAAACATTTACCCGACCAGAGCGTTACAGTTCTGTCCCCACATCCTGCAAACCTTAAGATTTGATGTTGAATCTCACCTTGTCCTCCTGGGTGCGGAAATAGTACAAGGTTTTTCCAATCAGAGCGCACCAAACCCGCTTGGAGTAGCCGTGCTTCACCTGCCATGGAGCAAGGACACATTTCACTTAAGATGTAGAAATGTTTGTGAAACACCTTTTTCATTTTTGGTAAAGTTGTATGTGGTGTTTTATTTTTTTTAGTCATAGTTAGAGATTGACATTTGAAGGTTGCCGGACCTTGACGAGCAGTCCCTTCATGCCGGGGCGAATATCGGGCTGGGTGAAGAGCGGACTGGCAGCCTTCACCCTGAGCACGCTCTGCAGCACCCGGAGCCACTCCTCCAGCAGGTTGGGGGAGTCGGCCTTCAGGTAGTACACGCGCTTCTCCGTCACTACCTGCGGTGCACACGGCGACAATGGGCAAAACAGGATGGCATAATTCTGAGGGAGTAGATATTCGAGGATGGAAAAAAAAAAAATAAATACCTGGAGGACTTGTTTTCCCTCTCCGCGGGCGATGCTGCTGGTGGCGTTGACCTCGATCTGACCCTGAGGTTTCCTGATCACGTCGCTCTGTGGGAACAGAACGGTAGATAAATACCCCCTTAAATAGTGAGACGCTAAAGATATAAAAGACAAAAATATATGCAAGATATAAAAGTGTATAAAACCCACGGGTGAGTTGTAATAGAGCAGCTCTCCGTCTTTGAGGACGAACCAGCGTCTCTTCCAAGTCTTCTTCCAGGTCTTCACCATTTTCAACAGGTAGCCGGACTTCTCCATCGGTTCCTGCAAAGACACTACGCGGTTCAGTTCTATGTCGTACGACATGAAATGTCCCCTCTTACCATCCAAAGAGTTTAATCTAAAACAGATCGAGGTCGTGGTACTACTTTATTTAACTTAATGTCTAAAATACAGTCTGTGTAGTTCATTGATATGTGAAAAAACAAGAGCAACAAGAAATAAGAATGTAAATGAAGAAAAATAAATTTGTATGGACACAATGTTTTTTGTTGCCTTTTTTTAAAGTCAACATTCTGAATTTCCCCGCATAAGACAATATCACTTCTTTCATTTACAAAAACAAAAGTTTCTCTTTAGAATTTCCTAAAAGATGCAGAAAGGACATTTTCCAATCTATCGAACAAAATAAAGCTTTGACCGATGAATTTGGTGGAACTACTGCGGTATTATTGCTCTGAATTGACTTTGTATTCTCATTTGGGAGCTCGTAATTGACATGAGTTATTTTGTTATGTCCTCCCGAGACCATAGACTGTATAAAAGAAGTGGAGGTAGTCATTGTGACGTCACCCACTCGTTTGTGGACTGCCGTTTTGAAGCATTGACTTCGACGATTTGGTTGTCGCCATCTTTTTGCAACCAGCGAACGGAAATTACCGTATTTAGACTGCGGAGGAGTCTAAATACGGAGGAGTGAAGTAGAGACGCCGGTAGCGATCAATCACAGTAAGACCGCCCTAAAGCATCCCCTGCTTTATGGTCTGTTTGACTCTAAATGGACCACAATTTACTAAATGAACATCATGCTGTATTGAAGAAGACTTGAAACTAGAGATTGAGACCATAAACTCATGTTTACAATGTTTACTGAGGGAATAAATCAAGAGAGAAGTAGAGTCATTAAGTTTAAGGCACTTTGGCTTCACTCGTCAGAACTGGAGGTTGCCGCCGGGGTGAGACGATCAACAGACCGGTCTCCCAAAGAACAACATTCAGGACTCACGCTCCTGCCGTTGTCGCCGGCTGAAGAGCAGGTCTTTGGGAGCTTCTGCTCCGGTTCAGAGCACTCTGTGTCGGTGGAGTAGGCATCGGGAGGGATGGCGTAGTCGCTCTCTGATGTCATCGAGGACATGGACACAGCTGGAGGAAGAGGAGGAGGAAAAGCAAAGTTGACGACGGAGCACGGAGCTTCATTCAGCCTCATTGAGTGAGTGCGGCGGTAAACGTCCTGGGACGTGCTGTACCTCTCTTGAGGGAGCGCGGGCTGCCGTCCTTGCGGGAGCTGGAGGAGGCGCGGGAGCTGCAGAGGGAGCCGTCCTCCTCCCCCGAGCTGGACAACTCCTCGGAGCTGGATGACTCGTCTGAGAACGGGCTGCTGCTCAGCAGGGTAGCTTTCTGTGAGGAGAGAGAGAGAGAGAGAGAGAGAGAGAGAGAGGGGTGATGGTCAACACACAAAAAAGAACAGCCAACTCGTAGAGACATTTAACACTCACCCCCTTCAGAGTGGTGTAAACCGGAGCTGTCATGTTCTTATAGACGAGGGACGTGTACATCACAAAGGCGGGATAGGAGGACTGGAGGGAGGGGTCTGCAACGTACAGATCACAGGTCAGTTAGTCAGTACTGTTGGTAGATTGAATCCTCTCTCGTTCCCGTCTCACCTTTGCTAGCAGGGTCCGTGCAGGACGTCTCAGACAGACGGATTCCCGATTTAGCCACAGCATAGATGCGACTCTCCTGTTGGGGAAAAAGAACTTGCTGAATTATCCCCCAATAAGTTCTACCGGTAGGAGAATATCTTCTGACTTACTGTGCATCGATACCTGCAGCTGGCATTATTTTGTCACTATATATATTACACTCACCAGCTATGGACCGAAAACTCAGTATTTCTGTTAAAGGGATAGTTCAGGTGTTTTGAAGTGGGGTTGTGGGAGGTTCTTAGAGGATCTCGTTCTGATCTTATCTTAACTTATCCAGAGTCAGTGTATTACCTGCAGTTTGAGTACCAGCACGGGAGCAAAGTAATGTACTCCTGTGGACGGGGGCAGCGACAAAATGTGTTTTAGCACCTAAAAAAAAGGCCCATTTAAAGAAAAAAATCAATATCTATTTAAGTGTATAATAATATTAAAAATATTCCACTGTTTGACCTTGCCTTGAGACAGCTCTATCTATAGATTTTTTAGTCTGATGTCTTTGTTTGATGCGTGTGCATTTCAGTGGAGAGTTTCATGATGCTCTCAGTTTAGATTGTCTTACCCAGGAGGGCAGCCTGTGTAAGGGGGGTGTAGGGGGAGCTGAGCTGTCACAGCTGATCTCCGGACCAGGTTCCGGTGGACCAGTTGAGGTCTGCAAATCTGGAAATAGAGGCCCAGCCCGTGAGCCTTGAGGAGGCGTGTCCCTGCCCGTCTCCATGCCAACCTGCTGCTCCTGGTCGAGGTCCGTTTCCTGTGGCCGGAGTGGGCGCAGCATGCTGAGAGCGTTGCGCGTTCGCCCGTGCGCGGCCTCGGTGCTGATCGAGGGCTGGCTCAGGTGTCTCTTGGCCAGAGCCGCGTTCGTCAACCCGAAGCCCGCCGGGGTCCGCAGCCGGGGCTGCTTGGGCGAGGCCGGGTTATCCCTGGGGTCCTGGGGCGGGTTGGGTCGTTTAGGGGTGAGGGCTGGTGTGAAGATGGGGCTGGGGGTATTGGCTTCGCCGGACGAGGATGAGGAGTCGAGTCGCTGGGACTGGAAGCGTTTGTTGAGCTCCTCGGAGGTGCGGTCCTCCAGCTTGGCCCTGTGTGCCTCCTCCTCCTCCTCCTCCTCCTCCTCCTCCTCTTCTTCCTTACACCCTCCCAGCATCCCATCCGGCAACCCCAGCAGGCCGAAGCCGGGCCTCTCAGAGCGCTGCATGTCGTCGTCAAACAGAGAGCTGCTGTCGTCCGAAGCAGTCAGGTAGGTCTCACTGCCGGGGCGGCTGAACTCCAGACCACCACCTCCCCCTCCTCCTCCTCCTCCTCCTCCTCCTCCTCCTCCTCCTTCTCCGTCTGATGCAGCGCTGGAGAGCACGGAGGAGATGCCACGAGACTCGGGTCCACGTGTGCTCTCATCCAGGCTTTCAGATGCACTGTCATCCTCCAGAGGTCCGGTCTGCTCCGGTCTCTGGACTTCACCGTTTGTCCCCGAGGAGGCTATCTGCTTGCCGCCCTTCTCTGTCAAAGCAAACATGAAAATACATAACCAACAGTTGTAACATAATTATTTTCTTTGTTAGGATCATTTGTTGTTGTAATACTCAGTTCAGCCACAAGAGGCTGAAGTGTACCACCACCGGAAGAGTGTTAATTTACATAAAAAGGTCGTCAGAGTCACTTTCCAGCGTCCTGTTTCGTCCAGAATCAGTTTTCCGGATCCAAAGCTGTGAATCTGTGGTGACTTACCGGTTGCGTCTCTGTCCTTCGTCTCCCCCTGGGTGCTGAGGGTCCTCTGGCAGGGTGCCGGTCCAGTGAGCACCTGGGGGCTCTTCCCCCTCACCTGGAAGCAGCCGAACGTCAGGCTGCTGAGACGCTGGGCCTCACCTGGTCTGCACAGGACGCCTCGCCCACCGCTGCTCTTCTGCTCGAAGGCTGCGGACAAAAAAATCATTATTATCACAACAACATCGAGCTAGTTTAGTACATGAAAAACAGATTTGAAACTCACACTGCACTTGTGTCTGCAACTCCCCAATCTGAGCCTCCTGCTGCTTGTTGGCTTCTCTCAACGCCGCGTTCTCTACCTCAAACTGAAGAAGAAACGTGTTTCAAAATAAAAGCCCCTTTCTTGGACCCAGGGATTAATCGAATGGAATGAAATACTGGTGACTCTAACTCACCACCCAGCTTACATTTTTGCCACATTTCCATCAATTTCAACTTGAAATCTAATGCCATCATTTAATTTACCTCTGACAACTTCAGCATCACCCATTCCTTGATCTTAGCTGCTTTCTCCTCCACCGTTTTGGCGTCTTGATGTCGGATCTGTTTCTGGTGAAAGAAGACACAGTGTGACAATACTTCGGATATAGAGTTTGTGTCTTTGTGACTGCGAAGACGCCATATCTCCCGCTACTTCCTTTTGCACCTTGGCATCCGCCAGCTTTGAATGAAGTTCCTCACGCACTATTGCTTTTACCTGCTCCTCCAGCTGCTGCTCCAGCCGGGCGATGGCATCCTCCTTGTCCTGCACCAGGGCCTGCAGCTCCTGGCACCGCCGGAACAGACGCACCTCCGAGTCTCCCGACTGACTGTCGGGGGCCTTCAGCTTCTCCTCCATCCACTGCACCTGGAAACACACGTACAAGCCTTACATATGCACATAAGCGACACACACGAGTGAACGCACTTGAGTCTGGATCCTGACCTGCTGGTGAGCGGTGAAGGCCCGTTTTTCGGCATCAATCACTTGCGTCTCCAATTGTTGAATCTGGGAAACCAAGAACACAATATTTTATTTCAGTTTAATCAGATATTGTGAGTTTTCTCACAATATCTTACTAAATATCAACTCCCCTTCAGTCCCCGAGCCAAACACAACAGCACCAGATAAAGACAGATGCAGATGTTTTGCAGCTGGACCTTTTGGCATTGATGGCTCAAAAGAATGTTTAGAATCACAAATAGGATTCTCAAAGTTTACCGATGTATCTAAAATGTGCATTTACATATTATGCATTTATCAACAAGTTCCTCCTTATACGAAATCTCTAATAATAATAATAATCTAATAATTGCTTTAATTTGTCGCACAATCCACTGATATTTTCGACAAACTCATCGTTGTTTACTTCTTCTTATGCTCAAGTAATGTTTGTTTTGTCCAATTCGGAATCTCAGCGGTTGTATCGTAATTGTAATCGTTAGCTTCACGGCAGTAATTGCATGGAAAATATGCCACCTTTTTCTGTGGATGTCCGATCGGTGTTCATGGTAAATGTAGTCCATTGAAGCAATGAATTCAGCCTAGTGAGTGCTATATTGACACAGAGAAAGCTGGGTTTCTCCTGCTCGCGGAGCGGTGCCGGCAGCGCCTACACGTACCAGGATGCATTGCAAAAGAGCTTCCGATGCCCGGGGCATATCCTCCATGCACAGAGGCCGTATCCTCTTGCATGGGCCTCTCTCCGCTGTACTCTGGCTCCAATAAACACTCATACTTTTTTTTTTCTTCAAAATTCTACAGAAGTGCTGCATAGAGCACCTTTAAGCAGCTTCATAATAATGACGAGGTGTCACATCTGTAAAAGGCACAACCGGCTCTTTGTTTGCTGAGATCAGAGCCGAGCATGTGGAACCTGGTAGGAGTGTGTTAAAACTGCAGCAACACTTAAGGGTCACACACACACACACACACACACACACACACACACACACACACACACAC